AACCAAACCAAAGAGTTCGATTTCTCCTCCCTCAACGGCATCCTTTCTTCTGCTTTAGGCCATAAGGGATGTTCTTTATACACTACTAAGTATACTATTTGGGAAATAATCTCTAATCAGTGTGTCAAAACCTCTTCACAACAGGAAAACATTAGGCTCTATCTCTAGACCGTGGCCTGTTCAAACACATTCTAAATTTCAGGTCTTTCACACCCACTACCAACTATTAATATTAGCAACTTTGTAAATAGGCTGAGGCTGCTTTAAGGTTCTGGGGAATGGGATAGGAGAGGAATATTGCCAGAAAGACAACTCCATTTGACTTAAGCTTTACAAATATTACCCAAAAAGTTTAAATTCTTCAGAAAGGCATATAAAACTCAAATACTAACCTTTAGAATTGATGTGGGAGAAAAAAATCACCTGTCCACTAATTTTTTTAACTGCCCCATCCACATTTACAACTAAATTGTCCACCTGCCATCTATAAACACAGTATATCAAAAGAATACAAATTCATTGTGGTAACAACAATGCAGATGGTCATGTGCTCACAATCCAGACAAAGTTAGGTTTACTGACTAAAATACTGGGGGGGGGGGGGAAGCTCACTTACTGTGCATTTATTTTCAACATAAAGATAAAGATCATTACAGCCACAACTAAACAAGAGTCTTCTGTAAATGCAGGTCATGCAAGAAATATGATACAAAATAACCCATCATTCCATCAAGATGATTTCTCACCGTCATCACAAGCTGATCAGTCCATTATAAATTGATAACCACTGACAAAGAACCAACAATCAACACCTCATCCTACTCAATGAACCTTTTAAAAAAGGGCTTATCTCTAATATCCACCCCAAATTGCAGAATATTTACTTGATCTACATTTACTTTTCCGGGTAGAGTAATATGAGAACAAGTGTGTATTAAAAACTTAAAGAGGCACTCTCAACTCTTTGAAGACTAATCAGGGGAAAATTCTCATGTCTATGCTATTAAAATATCTCCAATTTAACTTGCTATTTAACCCAAACCTCTGAAGTCCAAATGCTTGGTTTTTGGCTTTCCTTAGTTATTAAAACAGTTGTGTTCAGGGCTTTTTAAATAATTGGTGTTTTTCCCTGTATTGTGTCACTGGTTAAACTCTTTTACCCACAAAAATAAGGAATGTCCAAGCCTCCAGCTTCTGAAAATAACATCTGGTATGTGCACGTAACAAAAACCTTTAGAGAATGCCCTAGTTTTTATTTAAAACTTTTTTTCATTTAAAACTAGAATTGCCTTTAGCAACAGTTAGACAAAAATCATCTTTTACTTTATTAGGAAATGGCTATTTTCAACATTTACCTTAAACCACAACCTAGATTTATCTTCTAACCAGTTGGTTTCCTGTCTCTCCCCTCAACTAGATTAGACCGTAACTTTTTTGAGAGCAGGTGACTACTAAACCCTGTGATCTGTTTCCCAGCTAATACATTTCAAAATAATATTTTCCCAGCTAATATATTTTAAGTCTCTACAAAGACATAAATATTGCTAGCCTTAAAGCCTTAAGAATTTCTCTAATTTTTAAAAGCTATTCTGATAAGAACAGGTGTCCTTAACGGTTACTGTAGTTCTACACCAGTGGGTTCTCCAAGTGTGGTCGTGGACCCTGGAGAGTTTCCAGGACCCTCTGAGGGCGTCCAGAAGGCCAAAACTATTTTCATAAATAATATTAAGATGTTACTTTTATTGTTTACTCCTATTCTCTCACAAGCATGCAATGGAGTGTTCCAGAGGCTACGCAATACATGATTATTTCAAGAGACTGAATAAGAAGCATATATGAGAACCCAGTTGTCTTTTATAAAGCTAAACAAAAAGTCGCAAAAATGTAAAATAATGCCACTCTTCTCATCAAATTTTTGTTTCGAAAAACCCATTTTATTACATAAACTGCCAATTTATGTTAACAAGTATTGGATTTATTGTTATTTATAAGTAAGTTAATAAATATATATTTCAACTTTTTCTCAGTTTTAATTTCCAATATGACAAATATCAACAGATATAAGGCACATAAACAAAGGCTCTTTGAGTTCTCAATAATTTTTTAGAATATAAAGGAGTCCTATGTACCTTCCATGGATAAGAAGCTCAAGTTAATTCTGACGTACAATTACTTCTTACCCCTTCTAATCTTGTTGAGTTCTATATCTCCTTGTAAAGCATAGTGCAGCATAAAGCCAAGCTGTTCTAGGCCCCATTAAATGGGCTTTAGATATTTAATTATTGAGTCCTCTTTATAAAGATGCCCTGACCTGTAATACCACCTACTACTTGAATAATGCATGAGTTTCTCAGAGTTTTCACAAAAAATTACCTTGTTCATCCTAAAAGCAACCTGTGAAGTAAATGCCAAGCATTACCCTTTTTTTTTCAGATGACATAATGAAACTGATAATTGAAGAAAACAGAACTACTTGTCCAAGGATGTAGTGCTAGCTAGTAGAGCCTAGGATGTTGGTCTTTTGCAATTCGCTTGGCTGTCTCACTGTGGTGTAACTGTAAGCTCCCAAAGAAAATAAGGCAAGGGCATTACTTTTATTGTCCCAGTGCCAAAACAGGGATTTTCCCCTCCTTAATAAGAACATAATCAGACTGGATACCCGGTCACGGCATTATTCAATACATTGGGCTACCCTTTTGGTCCCCTACCAAAAAATTAAAATAAAATAAAATTCAAGAGTATTGGAGAAAAAAACACCACAATACTCCAAGATGATAAATTAGTTAAGGACTCACAGATTTTCTAATCATTTAATTGTTGAAATAACAGGCAGGCAAGAACAAGATCAAGCTTAATAGAGTAACACTAGATTATATCAACAAATGGATGCCAACAGGTTAAAATGGGAAGCCCACATAACATGGATTCAACTTAAGAGTGTGTGGGCAGAAGAAAAAACCCACACAAAGTTGCAAAACTAGTTTATTAGTTCTATAAATCCAAGCAAGTGACTAGAATCACCCTTGCAAAGCAATGTCAGGCAAACTGTTGCAAGACAGGAAGATGTCCTACCCGTTGGATAGAAATCACCCCTCCCTTATGGCTAAAGGTGTTGTTTTTGCTATCAGTACAGGTTTCTGTTATGCTCCATTTTAACTTAAGTTCCTCAAGAGATGCTCAATTTTCCCCATCTCTTTTTTATAGTCAAGTAGACTCCTTGACTGATGGAGGCAAGACTGACTCACAACAGAGTAACTGCCACTTGCATATTTTTCTTTTTTTAGATACATGTGCCCAGGGAAGCCATTTTTAAGTTTGATGTGTTTTTACCTTAGAAAAAGCCAGAAATGTGCCAACAGTCCATTTTGTATGCCTGTAGTTTCCTACAGATGACCAAGAATAATTTCACCACTCCTCCTGAGGTATGCTTTCCCTAGTGTATACTTCGGTCACTTTTTTTCAGGTTTTTTTTGGAAAAAAAATTAAATTACAGTTATAGCACTACAGCTGTAGCTACAGTTATAGCTAATGTACCACCAACCAATTTGTAAGGCGGTGCAATACACCTTATTTGTTGTTCCATACTCAACATGCATTGTTAAAAGACACATTTATAGGTAAGACCTAATTTATACAAGTTTCTGCATCCTTACAAAAGAATTGCAATACTGTACTGTGAAACCTGTTAACTGCTTAATTTTTAAAGATTTCATACGGAAAAAGATATCTGATTTTACATAGGCAAGCAAAGCATCAAATATTTGAGAACTCCAAGAAACCGGTTATTTCTATACCTTATCCCAGAGTACCGATTTCTTTGTGGCGCCACCTATATTTTTTTCCAAGGACATAATCAGCGTTTAAGAAGTAACCTGTCAAAAGTATTAAGGCATTCTCTAAACTATCTTCCCAGCTCTGGCCCACAATGAGAAATGTCACAGCTAAAGCATACCACTGCTGTTTTTCTGTATTTCTTCAAATGAGCTCAAGATTTTTGAAGTGCACAATTCAAATTTTACACTACAACCCAAGCTACCAGTGATCACCTCAAAGCTAATAAACAAAGACACTAGCGGCGGCACCAGGGCCCTACCAGGAAGTAATCAAAGCAGTGTGGCCGGTGCGATCCTAAGAAGTCGCTAGAGCAGACAATGAGAGGGCACTGGGGCTTCCAAGGGGACCGGCAGGAGGAGTTAAAATGCTCACGCTACTCAAAAGCGTTACACAAACGTAGTAACTGTTTTACAGCACATGAATGCGGGAATCCCAACGCAATTTCAGACAACCCAAAAGCTCTGAAAAGCAAACTCGAGCTACCCCTCCAAAGCAGCTGTTGGCTCAGACCCCGAGCTTTTTCGCTTGCAGCCCGTTTTCAAACTTCACCCTCCCTAGCCGAAGAAAGACTCCGAGCGCTACCGCCAAGCTTCCGAGCGCCTCGGGGGGGTTTCGGGATGCCCGAGACTGCGGTGAAGGGAAACGAAGCGGGGACGGGGTGGAGAGGGACCCCGCGCGACCGGCAGCCCAGACAAAGCTGCGCCCGGAGAGCGGCGCTTTTCCTGTCCGGTCCGCGGAGGAACGCAACTGGGGCCCCGCAACACGTGCGGCCGCCCCACGGGGGCGGACACCCGCCCCCACAGCCTCCGACCCCGCGCCGCGGGCGAGCTCAGCCCCCAGGCACGGCAGGGCGGGGCCAGGGGCGCGAGCCGCGGGCCAGGGTCCCCGCCCGCCGCTGCCCCCACACGCTCAAGGCCTCCCCTGACTCCCGCCTCTCACGGGCCTCTCCTTCGCCGGCCGGGCCGTCGGGCCCCGGGAAACAAAGGAGCCGCCACCGCTCCTGCCCGCGTCCGGCTTCACCGCGTACCGCTCCCCAGCCCGCCGGGCCCGACTCGCCCTCACCCCTCCCCGAGTCCGCGCGCCGGCTGCCCGCGGCCCCTAGACGGCAGGCCTGGCAGAGCCGGGGCCTCGGGTGCGCTGCCGGGCCGGCCTGGGGCTGCACTCACCGCTGCAGCACCAGGACGACGGGGAGCCGTTGGGGAACTTGGCTGAGTCCGGAGCGATACAGACGCTGGAGCTCAGGTGTGGACACTCCATGGCCACGAGGAGGGCGGCGGGGAAGACCGAGGCTCCGGGACCGGGCGAAGTGGGGGTGGAGGAACTCCGGAGGCTCCGTCTGGGGTCGCTCCTCGCCGGGCGCTCGGCCGACGGCGGCTGCGTCCCAAGCCCTTGCGTCAAAGAAAGCAAGGGCTTCCGGGCGCCGGGTTTTCCCGCCCGCCGTCTCTCGGCTCCCAGCTCCAGAGAACGTGGAAATCCGAGATCCGGGTTCTGCAGCCACCCCTAGACTGGAGGCTTCCGCCTTCCCAGGCCGGCCCCGCCCCTCCCCGCCCCCGGGCTGGGCCCGCCCCCAGGCCCGCCCCCGTCCCCTCCCGTTGGGTGGGTCCCCGCGCGCACCAGCTGGTGGCGCAGAGTCAGGCTGCGCTCTGAAGTGACTTTCCCAACTTCGCCACCCCGGCGGCCTCAGCTTCCCCTAGCCCCGGGAGGGGTGGGGCGCCAAGCCGGGGCACCCGGGCCGCTGCGTTTACTGCGGTCGGGCGGAAGAGGCTGCGTGGGGTGTGGATCCTGCGTGGGGTGCGGAGGTCTGACTACGGCGCGGCTGCGGGGTAGCAAATCTGGCAAAGTGCGAAGAAGAAAATAAAAACCACTCGAGCAGACAGGCCCCATATCCCCCATTTTACACAGGAAGAAACAAGGTCGCAGAGGTTAAGGGCCTGGCTCCGGGGGCCCAGCGGGTTGCGTGGGTCCCAGGGCAGACCTGACTTAATGTTCTGGTCCCTGTGGCAGGTGCACTCCGGGGCCTGCTTTAGGTTTGGAACACGTGGCCTTAGCCACCTGGACGCTGTGTGGCCTGGCCCGCAGGGGCGCCCTCGAATCTAGGTTCAAACCCTGTGGCTGTGACTCACCATCTGCGTTACCTCGAGCACATCGTCAGACTTTCATGCCTCACCCACCGCTGGAAGTTTAAGTGAAATAAACGTAACTTGTACTTGGTGAGCAAGTACAGCCCCCGCCCCCGCCGTTACCAGGTGATTTAAAAAAAAAAAAGGGAAAGGATCTAACATTTGTTAGACACCCACAATTGTCTCACGGCCAAGCACTTTACATACAATACCTCATTTAAGCCTCACAACACCCGACCAGCGGCTGTTACCGTCCCCTTTTTATCACGGGGGAAACCGAGTTTGTAATTTGCTAATCCGTGCAGAGATTGGATCTCTGCCTCTCTGACCTCTTTCTAGAAAAGAGTTGAGGAAGAGAGCAAACCTCAGGGGGCGGCTAGGGCCGGCTCACACCGGAGCGAGCCTGCGATCTCACTGGGGCACGGCCTCCTAGACGTCCTGGGCTATTACAAATGCTGCCTCAAAATTGAGGCTCCTTTTAAAACCCGGCGAAGGAGCTGCGGGGCCAGGAGGCGAGCAGGGGGAGGGGGAAGACTGATGTGGCAATCCTGCAGGCAGGGCGAGAGGAGGAAAGAAGGTCAGGAAATGATTAACAGGGCTGGGCAGTGGTTAGAGCAGGGCACCTCCCCTTAGTGCAGTCCTAGAGCAGCCCAGGGACACCCCTTGGTCGCTTCTCACTCCTCCCAGCGCCACAGGTCGGTTCCTTCCACGCAGTCCTCTGCCTGATGGTGTCCGCCCACCGGGGGCATCTCTGCCCAGCCTTTGCCCCAGTAGTATTTTGGATTCCTCAGTCAAAGATCTTCTGTGGCTTTCCAAGTTCATTTGATTGCTGTTAGAGCAAGCCTCAGTCCTGGGATTTTAAGGCAATGAGGAGTTGTGGCAAGTGCAGCTGCCTAGGAAGCCAGGCGAGCATGCGTTCCAATCTTAGCTCTGCCTCCTACTCAGTAGCCAACCTTAGCAAGTGTCTCTAGTCCTTCCAAGCCCTTTTCTTCATCTGTGAAACTTGGAAAATATTATAACGCTTATCTCTCAAGGAAGATGTGAGAACTCATGAGGATTGCCACCACCTTACGAGGTAGTCAATAAATTATAGCTTTTAAAAAAATTATAGCAGGTGAAGGCTGCTTCCCTGGGAAGAGGGAAGAGGATAAACAATATCTGGGCCTGGTGGGGTGGCTCACACCTGTAATCCTAGGGAGGCCAAGGGGAGAGGATCGCTTGAAGCCAGGAGTTGGAGACCAGCCTGAGCAACATAGCAAGACCCCATCTCTACAAAAAATAGAAAAATTAACCAGGCATGGTGATGTAAACCTGTAGTCCCAGCTATGGCTGAGGTAGGAGGATCACTTGAACCCAGGAGTTTGAGGTTGCAGTGAGCTATGATTATGCCACTGTACTCTAGCCAGGTGACAGAACTAGACTGTGTCTCAAACAAACAAACAAACAAAAAAACCCCAATAATATCTGACCTTTGCTCAAGCTCTTCCACCCATCTTCTCCCCCTCAATCTATTTTGTGTTTAAGGTTGGCTCAACCAACCTTTGTTCTCCTCTGGACACCTACCCCCTCTTGATATCCATTGCCCCTCGTTTAGCATGAAGCATGACCTGACTCATGCTGTCTTTCATACTAGTATATAGTGTTTCTTTTTTCGCCTTCTCAGAGACTCAGTTTCCTAATCTCCCTAGACTTCAGATTAAACTTCACTTCCTCAGGAAGCCTTTCCTGACCCTATTCCACCCCCAGGTTACCTCCCAGTGTGTGATGCTCTTGTCTGTGCCCACACCTGCCTTTTTAAAACACTCTTCATGCATATAATTGTTTGTTTAATGTCTCTGTTCCCCTTGGAGGTCCATAAGGGTAGCAAACAAGTCTGTGTGGTTTCCTGCTTTATTTATAACATAATACATAGAACATGGAGGATATCCAATAAATAAGTGTTTGATAAATGAATGAGTGAGCAAGTGATGGGTTAGCAGGAGCTCAGGAAGTGGCACAATATATACCAAGTATCTGCCCCGCCTGGAGATGATCTCTAAATTTCCTTTCAGTTCTGACTTTATTTTAACAGGATCAGGAATGTGAAAGTACCTCGTAAGGTGTAAAATTTAAAAAAACTCTGAGAGTAGGGGCCTTACTTTAATCATCCCTGATGCGATAGTTCCCAGAGGACAGACTGTATCAGGCATTCCAGAGAAGCTGGACAAAATCAAAGAGGCCCTCCTAGGGCTTTTGCTAGATTTGCCTAACCAGCAAGCTTTCCTGTGTCTTTGAAAGTTTTCATAATAAGAAAAAATTGGGGGGAAAAATGCACAGTGAGTAAATATGTCAAATGGGGGAAGACCACGGGGCACACTGGGAAATCTGCCTTTTCAGTCACTTGTTTCTTCAGCTGCATTTAACACAAGGTTTTCTGTTCCGGGCCGGCATCTCTTTGGCACTGACGAGCTCTGACTTACATACCAGTGCACCCTGATGGTGAGGAGCGAGCCTCCAGCTCCCGCACTCACTCGCGAGTGCCCCCGCCACCGGGATCGCCACCCAGCCCCTTGGATATCCGGGTCGGGAGGCGGAGGTGTGCGAGGTAAAACCTGCCAGAAGCAGCGGGCCTGTTTTTAAAGTTTGCATTTCTCAGAGGAGAGGAATGCACAATTTCAACCGTACTATCAAATATGTCTCTCCTAAAGGATAGATTGTATATGTCTTGGAGGAGGAGGAGTGTGGGGAAGGGGAGGACACATATTGCAGGGGAACCATGTCAGGAAAGGTCTCAGGCTTGCTGGGACCTTCCTAAAACCTTAGTCTTGTGACTTCTGGCAGAATCAGTGGTCCTTAACCAAGAATTACAAGGCTGACCAGGCTCTGGGGAAAACCAGCTCTGACTATCCTCACTCAGGTGAGAGGCTCACTGGAAACACCGAGAGAGCTGGTTTAATTATTTACCGTAGAGATTTTTCTAGGAGCAAAGCCTCCTTGGGAAACCAAAGTTAGATCAAGAGGAGGCTTGGTAAGTATTCAGAAGTGTTGGGGCTGGGGGACTGGGAGTGGGGAGCAGCCGCTCAGGGACTGCTCCATTGCCTGGTTCAATTTTCCTAGCAGCACCTATCTGTTTACTTATTTGTCTATTGTCAGTCTCCATGAGAACAGGGACCTTGCCATTCCTGTTGGTTGCCCGATTTCCAGCTCCTGGAATACAGCCTGGTACACGACAGGCCCTCAGTGACTATTTGTTGAATGACTAAATAAATGAAAGGGGGTGGGCGTGGGCTCCAGCCAGCCAACCCTCACTTCCCCACTCAGGAATACTGGCAGTGTCATTCTCCCCACTTCTTTCCATTCGCCCCTTTCACATCACCTCCCTGCTCAAAATTCTGGAAGGATAAAGTCCCAAACCCACTGCTGTTTCAGGCACCAGGCCCCTCCCTTTTGCTAAAGCTCTTTTTTTTTTTTTTAACTGTTCCAGCAGTACCTTAAATAGTCCCCTCATTATAGAAAATGTGCTTCCTCACACCTCTGTTTCCTGCCTTCTCTTCCCTTCTTACCTGGCCAGCTCCTACTCCTTCCCCAGGAAGCCCTACAGCCTCCTCAGGAAAGCCCTCCATCACTCGCCCATGCAGGCTTCTAAACCCTCCCCCACTGCCGCCACCACCCATTCCGTCCCTGCAGCTTGTCATGTGGTGCTGTTGTTTTCTAGTCACATTTCAGTCTCCGGTGGGAATAGGTGTTTTTCTCTTCACCTGTGGGTTCTCAGCACCTAGTTCAGCAATAGCAGATATTTTTAAATGATACCTGTTGACTGAATGTTGTTGGAAGTGCCCCTTTTGAAAGTGATTACATCAATAATTACATGAAATGGTCCCCTAGATATTCACAGAAAGGACCCCAACTATTTAAGAACAGAAACTTGCATTTATTGGGTCCCAACTAGGTACCAAATACTGTGTCAAGTGGCTTTCATTTCTTCTTTCATCCCCACAGTAGAGCTGGGAGGTAGATATTATCATCTCCATTTTACTGATGAGAGAACAAAAACTCAAAGAAGGTTAAATAGTTGCACACACTTACACGATTAGTAATTGGTCTTTTATCAAAGGAGGTAAAGTTTCACCCCTCATACACATGGTCATGTACATGATTTTGCAGTACTATTTAGGGGAAGCTATAATGGAGACTCTTAGGGACCACAAGACACAGAGAGCGTCTTGAACAACTAAAGAAAGAATCATTCTTATTCAGTGCCATTGTGATGATTATTATGTCATCAACATCTTAATTTGTATTGCTTTTAACTCTTTTCTCAGCTGAACTCTCCTTTTCTTAAGGAGATGAGAGGGTTTTCTTGTTCA